AAGCCATTAAGAAAAAAAGTTGATTCATCACTGAGGCAAATATTTTTTATTAAATCCGGGTCATTTTGAATTCTCGCAGTCATTATTTCACAAAATTCAATTCTCCTATCATAGTCATCCTCACTGAGTTGCTGAAGAATACTCATTTTGTAAGGGAAGAACTTGTTTAGTTTTAAAACTTTCAGAACCAACTGAAATATTTACTAACTTAGCGACTTTCGAAATTGAAGTAGTAGGCTCAACGGCGAATTGGTCTAAAATCTCAATCTGTGCGGCACAGAACCGGTCTCTTCAAATTTTTGAACAAGACAGTTGATGAAGAACAGTTCAAGCAGCTACTGTTAATTATTATAGTTTGATATTATTGAAATTATGTGCGGCTTTCTTTTTTTGTTTTTCAATGAATCGTTCACTACATCATTCGAATGAAGTATCATATTTGGAAATACAGAACAGTTGTTTTTTCTTCACAAGGGAGCGTCACAATCAAAAGTAATGTAGTGAACGGTCACATAGATGAATTCCTTATGAAGTTGCTTTCCTGATGATGAATCACACTTAGTACTTTTCCTGTACAAATTCTGTACAACCAAGTTTAGCTACCAATCGACGACAAAAGGTACCGACGGCAATCGGTCTTACTCCTCCATCCTTTTTCCGAAAAGCACACAGTGAAGCGCCAAAAAGTATAGAACAAATTTCTGGAGAAACCCTATCAGTAAAAATGAAGTTACATAATTTCGTAATGGAAATAAATTGAATTAATTTAATAGAATTGAATTAACGGATGTGAGTGAGTTGATATATCAAAAAAAGAGGCAAATGATGTGTTAAGGCCAAATACGTTTCAACCATCTGATATTGTTACAAATAGTGAAACATTGAAAAGTTTTGTTGAATTAAAAAGTACTTCTGTCAAACCTAAAGAGCGTTCAGAATATAAATAGTTTTTTCATATATTTTTATGAATGAGTGAGATTTGATCAGAGAAGAGATATAATGTATATTTTTATACCCTGTATAAGGCAGCGTACTTGTACGGATACGAGATTCCTGTTTTTGTGTTTCAGTATCAGTTGAAACGAGGGCTTGTTATGAAACATTTTCGCCTGATATCAATAAATCCCCAGAAAGTAGTGTTGTTTTTTCCTCGACACATCATATTTTATCCTTGTTATCAATTTCATAAATTGTTTCTCTTGAAGCTGAGTAGAAACCAAACAAAGTTTTTCAATTTTTCACTTTCCGTAATATCCAACCTTCCAAAATTTTCACGTACTTTGTAATCATCTGAAACTTTCCTCCGCTAATAGCCCATACCCTTAATGGAAGTTTAAATTATGTTTCAAGCTTCTCGAAACATAAACTGGGTATTATAATCATCTGATTATATATCGTGTGGATTTTCAAAAATAATTTTATGAGAACGGCTTGAATTGTTTTGTGCATCATGAAGATAATCGTGTGAAACTTTAAAACGATTATATAACTAAGTATTTACCTATTAACATAACTTGTCTCGAATTCCACTAGTATTTTCATGTGTCATTTTCCAAAATCATTATCAATAATATACTTACTTAATTTATCCAGAGTGAACGTTCGCAAGGGCCGTTTTTTTTAGCTGATACCACTATTGCTATCTCTGAAACGGTATTCCCAAGTACAAGGACGGTTACATGGAACAAAATTTGCACCTTTATGATTGCAACATGATGGTTTTCTCAGATCGATAAAATTACCAACCGTTTCTGAGGTATTTGCTGAAATGCTGAAAATGACAGATTTTATTTTTGTGCTCTACCGCCTCAATTTCCAATAATATCAAAAAATGACAAACAAACTTTCTGTTTCATTTCATGTTATTGGTTCAACCCGTTTTCCAATGCGACATTTCGTTCATTGAAATCCATCATCGATATACTTTTTTAACCCTCCGAGCAGTGAGAAGGTCCGTATAGACTATAGACCTTTTACAATATTTGTGAGTTCATAACTTTTTGTTATTATGCGCTAGAAATGTGTTGCTATATGTATTCCATAAAAACAACATGCTGAATTGATTAAAATAGGTTTCAACCCAATTCTATCTCCGGTTCCATTTTTTCTTTTGTTTTAAGCCAAACGGCTTCGAGTCGAGGCCAAATGGCTTCGTTTGAGTCGAAAATTCGACTCAAACGCACGTGCAAGGTTCCTATGGACTGTATATATAAAAAATGGGTTACTGTGGAAAAAACAGTTGAATGTGTATTTGACCCAGGTACCAGTGAGACCATCGTTTGACGAGTAAACACGTATTATTGCGCATTTGAGTTTTATTGTTTGATCCTTTCGAGTGGATAATTTTGTTTCTTTGGTTATTCTTCATGTTTATAAGGTAATTTTGTTTGTTTTATTTTTGTCTAGTGTATACCTTTGTGTGGTTGGTTTTATTCTGTGAAACAATGGCAGATGCGATAAAATCCAACACCGAGCCTGTAAAGGAACTATAGGGCTCAACTCATGCTCTAATATTCAAAGTTGCTTTATCGTTTTGTGTCAATTACAAAATTCACTTGCCAAGCACCAGATGTACATCAATACAGTAATAACATAGAATGCAAATCCAATTTTTGTAATATTTTTGTGATTCGTTTTACTGCTTATGTGTCCAAATAAACCAGGAATATTCTACTTGAATTAAAATCAATCTTCTTTTTTTGTCATACCACTCATATTTTACGCGTCTTACCTATCGATATCATTCAGGCACTTTATACAACCATAAGCTACATACACATACTCATGTAGGGACACTTTTAAGACACCTGCATAGTTATCATTCATGTGACCTCAGTATATTTTTTGAAGGTCCTTAGGGACCTTGTTCTCCGGTTTACCGCGGTTACCCGCGGTTTACTCGCGGGACTGTTATCCATCGGAGGGTTAAATACGGACCTCAAGCCTTATCGAGTCAGGAAAATCCATCATTTGCGTTTGACGGACTTCAACAGGAGAAAAGTTTTTTGAGGGTGGCTCATTAGAAAATTTCGTCAAAATAATGAAATTTGCAAAAAGAATTATTGTGTGATGGAAGTAGTTTTACCAATAACGGATGGTCCAACAGAAATATATATTATCAGTGACGACAAGGAAATTAATATTTACATAGAGTTACCAATTTTCAAGCGAGATATGGTGTGAGATATGGCTTGGTGTTCTTGATAAATACTTGGACTTTTCATCAGAGACTCTGATTGAATTTCTAGAAGATTTGCTACTAAGCCTAATATGAAAATATGAGTGTTTCCAACAGGACAGAACTCCAAAACATCGCAGGAGAATGTGCAGAGATTTCCTCAGCACAACTA